CATTGTTCTTTTTTCAAATCTCAAATGTTTTTTTCTCAGTGCCTGCTTATACACCTTAAGGGTTTTTCTTTTTGCACCAAAATTGTGAGAGTTCAATTTCTCATGAGTCTGTTGGGATGTTACATGTTATCACAGCACAGAAGGAAGGAAACTACAGTTACAGATAAATTTGATGCTTCCATTATCACATGGATCCCCCCATAGGGATGGTTACACTCAGGACTCCACGTTCTAGAAAGTTCAGAAAAAAATATTTCTTTTGAATTGTTTTCTACCTCATATTTAATCTGGAGCATTTGTTTTCTTATACTTTAATAATTAATGGACCATTGGAAGATTGAAAGAGGCAGTCCCTCAACAGACTATATGCAGGCTGGAATGGGGGCGATGTGAACAGTCGTCGATACAGGAGTTACCTGGGGAAAGAAGTCAGTGGAAAAGAACATCCTCTCCTTATTCATTTCATAGGTCCTGGAGCCCAGAGCCTAGAGAAACATCACATTCGTTTGTCCTTTGTCTCTTGGACTTTGAGCTAGAAGTGACATCTTAGATTCACTCTGTTTTTTGCTCTAGGACCAAAGTCTTTTCTAATGAAACAGGAGAAGAGAGAACTTGCATAAGATGTGGTAGGAAATTGATATCTAAGAATTAATAAAGGCTGGCCATGTTTGGCCTTGACTGAAAGGAAAGTTTTCTCTGAGGCTGGTTTATATTTAGCTTCCTTCTGTTCTTTACAATTGGTAAAACCAGCTCCAGCAACACTTCTTTTGAAGTATTCAAAGGCCACAAGGAGAAGTGAAAAAGAGCACAGAATTTAAAGAAAGAAGAACCTAGCTCAAGTCAGCCACTTATGGAGCTGTGTGCCCTTGGACAAGTTCTTTTATCCTCTCTGAGTTTCAATTCTTTTATCTGTAAAATGGGGATAAAAATATCTAGCTCTTATCAAGAGTTCTTTGTAAAGTCTAAGGTTTTATGTAAATGTTAGTTCTTATTTTGAACCCACTGAGTGAGGATATAAGACATCTCTCAAACGGCAGGTTGTATAGAAAGCATACTTAATTAGAGTTTCAATATGTGGACCATACTCTCTGTTGTGTTGCTGCTCCTTGGGCTTCCATGATCTGCCTTGGTCCCTTTTTACAGAAACATACAGGGGAAAGGAGTTTCCACTCTAACATTTTAGCAAAAGGAAGAATTACTTTCCTCTCTATCATTCCTGGCAGGGGTCAGCCATCCAGTGCAGTTGGAACATTCCCACTGAGCTTGCTGTCCCACTTGGCATTCCACTTGCTAGAAAATTCTGTGTCGATGAAATGTGGACAGATAATGTTGGGAAGATAAATGAGTAACACTTGTGAAATTATTTGAACTCTTCAGAAGAAAAGACCCACAATGGTTCCAGGGATTATTTTTTTAAGATCATTGGAATTTAAAATCAAATATTTTAGTTGATTAATGTCTATTCTAATTTTTTTGTGTGTCTTGGCATTGGAGAATCTGAGAGACAGGGTCAACAGACTTTTCTTTTTTAATTAATGGAAATAAGTTAAGTGTACAGAAGACATCAAGGTCTAAATGTGGCAACCTAACAACCACTACATGGTACCACTGCCCTCCCCGCAAACATTCCCAGTCTTCACTCATGTAGGTTCAGTCTTGGTGAAGCTCAGCATCTTGTACCCTTAACCAAATCTTGCCCATTTTTAATACCCCCAAACTCCAGCATAGGCTCCCAGCAACCAACAATGTACGAGGCTCTGTGTAATCTGCTGGAGATTTGATATAAATTGGCAAGATTCCCCTTCTTCAAGGAGCTCTTTCAGGGGAAATACAGACATAAAGCAACTGATCACAGCACAGAATGACAGAAAGTAATGGAGGCAGACAAAAGAGGCAGACCCAGTTCTCCCAAAAAGACTTAGCGGCAACTAACACCAAAACGGAATCTGGAAAAACCATCACAATTCTCCATGTGAGTAAAAACAGAAGGAGGATTCCAGTGAAGGAAGGATAGCAAAGTCATAGTGGTAAGGAAAGGCAGGGAAGAGTGCACAGGGAAGTAGTTCGGGGAAACCAACTTCCAAAGGAATCTGGGAATGCTCAACTAGCACGGCTGACAGAAGGCCGGGACTAGCACCTCTTTCTGTCAAAAAAGGAGGCTTGACTTCAACAGAAGGTGCTAGAGCTGTTGAGGATGTGATGATGGGTGACCCTCAGAAGATGAACGATGGAGTAGATAGCAAGATGAGAGAGCAACCCAGGACAGGGAAGGCTGGGGCTGAGGCACAAGCTAAATGTCCCTTCAATGCACAGCAGTGACGAGAACACAGCAACAGCCTTTTGAAACTAATATCAATTTTAGACATTTCAGCATCAGAGACAGACCAGCTGTTTCCAAAGAATGCCTGACAAGGCTCAGGAAACACTTGGGTGTCGCTTCACACACTAGAGTATGTTTTGAGGAAGGGCAAACTGGACATTTGTGTGGTCTTCGTAAAAGTCATGACTAAGCTGATAAATAAATAAGTCGAAAGAGATAACAAATCACAAGTAGAATTCTGCTCTTGCCTGAAACTGGAATTATTACAGATAAATACATGAAGAGACCTGAAGGACAATCAACGCACATGCATCTAATAAATGATGCCAATGACTATTAAATCTTCCCCAGTCTCCATAAGTTGTCATCTTTGGAATTAATCCTGAAGAATCATATTTTTACAAATTAAAAGTAATGATTCAAGGCTTAAAGAAACAACAACCAAAAAAAAAGCAAAAGTGAAGCCTGAGGAAGGCAGGTAGAGAAAGAATAAAAGTTCTTTAGGATCAAAGGTTCTGCCCCACAGAAAAATAACTAACAAGGTGAATAGCAAATTAACAAATAAAAGAAATTATAAAGCCAACCAGTGGCATGGTAGTTAAGTTACTGGATCCCACATGGCTGACTGTGCAATTTGAGGGCCCAGTTCTGCAGCTTGAGAAGTATGACAGATACAGAATTGTTATGCCCCCCCCAAAAGGGGGGTTCTCTCTCTCTAAGAAGTACACACACCCCAGCAATGACAGATACAGAATTGTTATGCCCCCCCCCCATAAGGGGGGTTCTCTCTCTCTGAGAAGTACACACACCCCCAGCAAATTAAAAAAGAAAGAAAAAAGGAATGGTAAGATGTTAGCAAATATATTGTTTACCTACCAATAGAACTACTATCTCACTATGTTCCACACCTCTAAAAGATGACTTTTAATCTATTTTAAGAATTATGCAATGTTTGTAGATTATTTTGATTTCAATTGTCAATAGAGCCTATACTAAGGGTCAAGGGATCTAAATCTGTCTTGCTTACAATAATATTGAACAACAGGAGCAATACATTTAGATCATGACAGTAAAGAGCCTATGCAATGTGAGAAAGCATGTCTTCATTTAGCAGTTTAGAAACAGAAAAAGAACATAAAATTTTCAACTTACTGATCCAAAACTCTGAGGATGATAAGTTTGTTCCAGGAAACTGGTTGCATCATTTCAATGAACCAGAACAGAAAAATCATGATGTAAATTTTAGAATTCTTTTAAATTTTCAAATTTATCATTTGGCTGGTGAAAGAGTAACACTTGGAGAGCTGAAATCCTTGAAGTCTTAGGGCTATGCCTTCATCACTTTGGTGTTCAGTCTCTACTAAACTGGTTTGAATACTGAAACAAGAATAAGGAGCGTTTCTAGTTTGTAAAAATCAGACTGCTCTGATTTCATCACCAACTTCACAATATTCCGGGCATATGTACGAGAAGTAATGATAATGCCAAAGTATAAAATACAGCTATTTTCATAACCAGAATAAATTACGGCTAGTTCTCCTGTGGTAAACAATCAGTTTTTCAACTCTATACTCTCCAGACAGCTGAGTCAAGCCTTGCTTTTCAAGTGCTTCATTAAATAGGCAGTACATCTACGGATTATTCTGGAACAGAGTTTCTGGGTGCAGAGAATCTTTGTGCTGTAAAAGTTGGGGGCAGGAGACTATCAGATAACAGTTCTTGTGAGACAGTGATGCTACTCCTAAGAAGAAAAAGTATAAGAGGGGCAGGCAGGTGGCATGGTGGTTAAGGCACTGGACTCCCACATGGCCAACTGCAGTTTGAGTCCCAGACCTGGTGGCTTGCTTTCTCACTTTCCCTCTCTCTCTCTCCATCTTGGTCTCTCTCTGATCAAATTAAAATGCAATAATAATAAGTAAAATTGAAATAAAAAATTATTTTTTAAAAAAAGGAAGAAAAAAATACACATAGGTTAATATTAGGGGTTTTTTTCTACTGGAATTTAAATGTTGTACATTTTTAAACAGAGTAAATGTTCTCTAGTTTTTCAGTCTAAAAATCTTCCAAACTGGTGATGCTACTCATCCTTGGAACTCCCCATTCCTGGGCATTTTTATACTGGCACCAAATGTTACATTGACCATGTGATCATTCATATATGAAGCTCCTAACATCTCTCTGCCCTAACCATGATCTTATCATGACTTAATCTTGGTTTTACAACCTTCCATATCATCACATGGCATTTGTTTTATTTTGTTCGGGTTGTGTGTGTGTGTGTGTGTGTGTGTGTGTGTGTGTGTGTGTGTGTGTGTTTGGTTTTTGTTTGCCTACATAGAGGTAGAAAACCTCTCTGCATAGGCATGAGGACTTCAATTCTATTTTGCTTTGCCTTTAGGTCATTTCTTTCTGCCAGAGGTCTCTTATAAGCTCAAGAGATGAGACAGATAGAAGCCAGCATGAGTGTTTGGGAAGGTATTAGAGGAGACATCCTTTCACAAGAATGAATTGGATCATATGATTATGTTAGCTAGAAAAATTGGAATGTGTGCCGAATAAGTACAAAACACTAGTCCAAATTGTGACATAAATGTCTTCGGTGTCTTCAAAATAACGTGCAGGATGTTCGTTTGGCGGTGCCTGCCTTTTATTGATGTACTTTTTGCTGGTTCTTTTACAGAATGCCCTGGCTAAAGCTACTGTGAAAGAACTGGCCTCACTGCACGGGACCAAGTACACATATGGTCCAGGAGCCACAACGATCTGTGAGTCTTGGCTTCAGGGCTATGTGAAGAAATCGTGTGCCTAGAAAGCCAGCCAATGGTTCCCAGAGTGCTTCTTCTCCGATCATTTGTAGCATGTGGCTTTTGCCTCCCGGTGAATTTTTTATGGAATATGTAATCAGTTTTCTGTTCAAAAACAGGGGGAAATGTATCCTTTCAACCCACACAACATTTGCTCTCTGTAAGCATCTATTAAACAGCTACTATGTGCCAGTCCCTCACTAGTACCAGGAGAAAAAGAAAGAAAAGATGGTGAGAAGGGAAGAGGAAAAAGAAAAGGAAAGGCAGAACAGAGCAGTCTTTCGAGAAACCACACGAGGGAAACAGGAAGAGTAAACAGTCGATTGTGATAAGAGATGCTAAGAGCTGTGATCATGGGATACACAAAAAAAGAACATACACTAGAACCAACAAATTCACCCCCACCGTATCAGAGAGAACTTGTTAAGATGAGAGCACAGAACTTTATCTGGAAGGACCATCACTGGAGGAAAGCAGAGTTTGCCTGGCTAAATGGACTGCAGGGTCAAGGGGTACTTGAGGTGCAAGCCACCTCCAAAGAGCAGACTTCAGTCCTTAGAACCAGTCATTTTGTGTGTGCAAACAAATGACCAGGGACACAAGCTAGAGGGTGTGAGGAGCTAGACCCCAGAGCAATAGATACTGCAGAGTTTAGGTTTCTCTGGGAAAGAACATTCCACAGACCTGTTTTTAATTTCTACTTATATTTCTCTTTGCCTTCAAATGATTTCTTTCTGCCAGAGGTCTGAAAGGAACAGATATTTAAAAAAAAAAAAAGACCCAGTTCTGTCATCCAGGGGCCTCTAGTGAGGTTGGGGAGGCTTCTGTCCTAACTTGTTGGGATTTTATTTTTTTTTAAAGCTTTATATAGAACACAGTTTTCTGTATTCTCATTTTTTTAAAACTGCTCTGAATTCATTGAGGTAGAGTGTCTTCTTAAGGGAACTCTAGCAGAAATAACCCACCTATTCGTATTTGTGAGCTTCCTGTATGTTCTATTCAGACTAATTCAATGAGATGTCTTTTTCCATGATGCTGTAAGCCCTTGGAGGGCAGGGACAATGTTTCTTTTTTGTCCAGGCCTCTCCGGAGTTGGGTCCATGACCTACTTTTCAGTGGGGGCTGTACAACTGTTGACTGAATAAATAAATAATTGGAGAAATGAACATGTGATTACAATTCTACATGTTTGTAACAATAGACTTATTAGACAGCCTAATAGCTGAGTGAGTGTGCCTAATCTGTGCAAATCCTACGCAAATCCTTCACTGAAGATACACAAATGAAGACACAGCCTGCCCTCAGCTGCTCCAAATTCACCACTCAGTAGAGTTCCAGCAGGATTGGGAGTCTTCTCTCCAATTTATCATGTAGCTTACTCTCTTTTTTTTTTTTCTCTCTCTCTCCTTGTTTTTGCCTGACAGTTATCATGTAACTTTCTTTGTTTTCCTGGAAAACACATATTCTTTTCCCAGATATTATATGTATTTTGTAAACAAATCACATACTGTACAGTATGGTTGACCACGGCACACAAGTATGCTAAGAATTTCAATCATAAATTACATACTTTTTGGTGCATTAGACATAGGGCTCCCACAAAGTAGTTTTAGGAGTAAGATTGGACTTAATCATTTTTAAAATGGGTGATCTTTTAAAATCTCTTTCCTAGATTAGTTTTTGTAAATATGTCTTCCATTTGCGTATTTCAGATCCTGCTGCTGGAGGCTCTGACGACTGGGCTTATGACCAAGGGATCAAGTATTCCTTCACCTTTGAACTCCGGGATAAGGGCCGGTATGGCTTTGCCCTCCCCGAGTCCCAGATCCGGGCGACCTGTGAGGAGACGCTGTTGGCCATCAAGCACATCGCCAGCTACGTCCTGGAACACCTGTACTAGTGGAGGACACAGGGAGCCTTATTTCAAAATGCTCCGTTTTTTGCTTTGTTTTGTTTCTTTTCTGTTCTGAATTCTTATTCGTGTTTGCCTGGATGTTTCACAGATCCTAATCTTTCTTTTAAGCTTATGAGTCTATGATACTACTTGGATCTTTTACTATATCCTAATAAAAGTAAATCGTTCTCATTGGAAAACATGATGGATTGCCTTCTTCTTTGGGGAAAAAGTAGTCTGAACATATGACTAAGCAAGCCATGTTCAGGTGTTGATATATGACTTTAAATCCTCGCTGTTTTGTGTGAAAACACTGGCAGAGCGCAGAGACACACAGACTATAGGGAAAGGCTTGTGAATAATACGAAATATATAGGGAAATTTAGAACCATAAAACCTGATATTGACAAAACAGACTCCATCTTGGTCTAGCTTTCATCTCAGCTCATTCAAGCTAGGTTTAGGGTTAGTATGTGCCAAGCACTTTCCCAACCAATTGAAGACAGAACAATGAAAAAGATAGGAAGCATTGCTACATTCAGTGAGTATATAAGCCATTTGGGAAAATAGACATTAAACAAATGATTAATTTATAACTTAATAACTGGTGATTTAATCTACATTAAGCACATAAATGTTGGATGAACTACACAAAAAGAACACATAAAGTCTACCTACCTGATGTGAAGGAGAAGGCTCTCCCAGGAAGGACAATAACCTGAGAAATTAATCACAATTGGTTGGGCAAAGGCAGTACCATTTCCAGGTCTGGGACTCCTCAGAAGGTGGAGCAAAAATCCAGTGAGGGTGAAATTAAGGGAGGAGAAGAATATGTGGGAGCTGGGGAGGGAGTAGGTACCAGATCAAGCAGCGCTTAGATCACGGTAAGGGCTTGAGACATTGGTCTAAGAACAATGGGATGCTACAGAAGATGTTAACTTTTTCTCATTTTTTTTTAAAGAATTCTTTTACTTAACTTTATTTACTATTATTATTTAAATATTTCTAGAGAGAGATGCACACAGAGAGAGAGAGAGAGAGAAAGTGAGAAAGCAAGCCTCCAGGTTCAGGACTTGAATCATAGTTGGCCATGTGGGAGTCCAACGTCCCCAACCCTCATTCCACCTGCTAGCTTCAGGAATTGTTAATTTGTAAGTGACTTGATTGGAGGTTTGTTTTTGGTTTTGTTTTTTTAATGCTTTTACATATATACCAATTACGCTATGGTGTAGAAAGCAGATTGAAAATAAGACAAAAAGATGCCATGGACCCTGGCTGGATCAGTTGGGTCAAGAATGAAAGCAGCAAAATTATTCTATCCCTTGTACTTCAGACATGACTTGCAATTTTTCAGAATTAGAATCAAATGTGTCAATGTTGGAGCATATTGTGCAAAGCTCAAATTATCAAAGAATAAGGTGTTTAAGTTATAACTTGGGGGCATTTGCTACTTTAAAATCACAGAACAAAATATTAACTCATGATTCCCTATGTATCACTAGATTCAAGGAGCATAAGAGTTTCCTACTGAGCATAATATGTTCAAACAGCTACAGAGCATTCTATTCCAAGACTTCTTAAAGTCACAATGGTTGATGTGTAAGTTGTCAAGCATTTATTGTCCACTAGATGGTAGCAGTGCAGCTGCTGCCAGTTGTCAAGCAATCACCTTCAAAACAATTTAGTAATCCATCATTTAAATACATGAGAGAGACTCGAGTGCCAAAAAGAAATTAACATGAATAGTCAACATACCGATGGTAATGTTAAACACAGATGTAATTTGGCTCAATGGCCTTTCTCCCATCCTAAGTGATATCTATGTTGTGAATTGAAGGCTAACTTAGCCAAGTTATCACAGTGAAGTTATCTTATGGAGGATGTGTCATTCAATTCCAGATCTACAAGATATTTCCCTCTGGTGGATAACGTCAATCCCTAACTACAAGATGCCATGGCCCAAAGTACAGAAATCACGTGGCTAACCCATAAACAGCACCCCAAAGTTCTTACATTGAGTGTTCTAAAATGGAAAACAGAACTATAAGGGGACTCCAAACATGACTGTGGGAAAGTGGAATTAAAGTATAAGTGTATTTTGGTGCAAAAAAATAAAAATGTTTTAATCCATGCACGGTTTTTTCATAATACTTTCCAGGTACTTTCAAAATTCCAAGAAATTGTTAAGGAGAATAAAGAATATGAGAACAAATATGTAAATATCCTCATTTGAAATCTGACATTTCCTGCCCCTAAGACATTCTGCTAAACTCTCACCTACTGAAAGTTAATAGCCAGTTGACTAGGAGTTCCACTTGCCTGAGATAAATCAAGAAAAGCAGAAAGAGCAGAAGTCTTCCCTAGTTCTCCTCAGCGCAATGGTGCCTCGTGGCACCCAGCTCTGACTCCTCAGGAGCCCCAGGCTGTAAGAGCACCTCCTTTCCTTCCTCCTTGAACCTGTACTCACCCTGACCCTGAGCCCTTCCTTCAACACCAAGCTCTCATATTCCCGAAACAAAAATTAACAACAGCATGGGAATGGCCCCTGGAATCTTTACTTCCTCAAATAATATAACTGAAAAATAGCAAAAGTGGTTTTCCAGTGTGGGTAACGGAATTCTTACATTTCTGGAATCTCAAGCCATGTGTTCATCTGCGTTTTGCTAACTAACCTCCATGAGTTGGTCAAAAAGAGAATTTAAGACCTAGAAGGAAAAGAAGAGCTATGACAAGTCAGTGAGTTCATTTGGGAATCAAGTGGGCTTTTGATTGCATTAGGTCATTTCAAAAGAACAGAGTTCATCTCCCCCTACGGGGTCTGACACTACCTGAATTATATACCCCATATTTGCCCAAAATGCCACCTCTGCCACAGCTAATGAGGACAGGCTTTGCTGCAGCATTTACTGGGTGGTTTCATATTAATGTTAAGAATCCAACATCTATAATCAAGAGGGAATTCTGGGACCAGTAGTTAGTGTAATGGCTGTGTTGCTGGACTCCCATGTAGTCGACCGCAGTTCGAGTCCCAGACCCAGTGGCTTAAACTCAGGCCGGGCGCATGTGCATGCATGCCCAAGATCCCGAGAGGAGAAAGGAGGAGAGGGGATTGCGGTGTGACCATCCCCCCTGGGGTGTGATTTCTCACTTTCTGTCTCTCTGTCTCTCCTTGTCTTTCTGGCAAGTGCCCACACCCTACAGCAAAAACTTCTCCAAAAATAAAAGCGAATTCTTTCAACATACTCTTTATGAGATGTCTAAAGGTACTCTAGAAGTTATTGAATTCATTTTATAGATGGAAAATTATTTGAAAAATTTTAGTAATTCACAAAAGAGCTATCACTTCTACTTTATAGGACACTCTTTCATATAATATACTGCAATATATTTTAAAAACCACAGTACAAAAATAAAATAACATTTTAAAGCATGGCTCAACACACACTGCTACAAAAATCCTAGGAGTGCAAAGCTCCAGAAAGATGAAAAATTATTGCTGTGTGAAGCATTCCAGTTTAAAGTCCTTTTTAAAGAGATTAATTTAAGCTATGAAACATCCCATAGTCAATCCTAAAATAATATGGTGTTCAACAACTATTCATCTCACTCCATACATATGCCAAGACCTTTTGTAAATCTTGATGCAATAATAAAAGGTTGCATTAAACTATGCATGCCAAGAAATAGTTTCATTCTGAGAAAAAGCTCCAGAATATTCTCGAAATATATTCTTTTTTCAGAAGCTAAATTAGAGTAGGCTGGAGTAAGACAGTCTTAAAATGCATCATATGTTTATGTTCTAGTCCGAAAACAGGACATTGTCAATATGCCACAGATACAAAAAAAAAAAAAAAATGTTTCCTTATCATCAAAGAGTTATCCTGAAAAATACCAGGGTCCTCCAAACATTCATCTAGAGCCTCAAGACAAAAATAGAAATTTTCCTCCTACTTTCCTGAAAGACATAGAATCCTTCTTTATATAGTTTAAAACCAGTCACACAGAAAAGTCTAATATATCAGAATGTTAGAATTAAAGGGAGATTTCTACTTTCTTCTTTCTACTTATTGTATTTTGAAAAATTCTTTCCAATGGGCATTTATTACTTTTGGAATCAAAAGGTAAAACTGTGAACAGTTAGAATATTCATTTTTTTCTTACAGTAGCTAGGTTGGAATCAGCAAGGACTTGTTTTAACCCCACTTTAATCTACCACATGATACACGCTGATACTCATCAGTTGTGCAGCCTGACAGGGGCTGACTGTGTCTGCTTACAGGGCCTGATAATTTTATCAACTGCCTAAAGGGCAAGGGCATGTTTTCTATGACTTATCATGTACCCAGTCCTTACATAGGCTATCTTATGTAGCCCTCACTGCCGGGTATTTGAGTCACATTAACCTCTCCATTTACAAATGAGGAAACCGGGGCCAGCAGGTAGCATGGTGGTTAAGGTGCTGGATTCCCACGTGGCTGTCTATGGTTTGAGTCCTAGACCTGGCAGTTTGCTTTCTCTCTCTCTCTCTGGTCAAATTAAAATAAATAAATAATAAAATAATTTTTTTAAATGAGGAAACCAAAGGCCAGGGTGACTAGATAGCCAGCTCAAAATGATGTAACTACTGGTAGTCCTTCTGAGGTGATGTCTACCTACGGGTAGCCTTTCTGAGGTGATGTCTACCTAAATCCAAAGTCGAGCTCTTCCTTTTTCACTTTCCTAGTCAAAAGCACCTTTAGTCAAAAACCATGGAGCAAACCTTTGCTTTGGGACTTCCTAGTACTGATGAAATTACCCAACCAATGTTAACAAGATGAAGGCATCTGTAAAACACTCCTCTCCCTCACCTGCAGGGTTTAAGTAGGGGGATCTCTCTGAAGAAATAAAAGGAATTAAGTTATGTCACCTACCTATAAGATAAAGAGAAATGGAGTTATTGCAGGTGTACATATAATGGGGCATCTTCTCAACACTAATTTTTAATAAAAATATGTAACAGCAACTCTGAGAAGTTTCATATACAACCATCTATACACTTGCCAATGTGAAGAGGTAGTTTTTAAAAAGAAAAAAAACTAATACACATGAAAATGCTTACTATCATTTATTAATACAGTGACCTATTTTTAAAAAATATTTATTGTAATTTATGATTTACATATACTCATCACACATCTTTTGTAGGGTACAGAATGGTCTTTAAAAGCTTGTATGCAGTACGCAATACACAAGTCAAGGATATAAACATATTCAACCTGAACAACTGATGGCGTAATGGCTATGTCCCTGGACTCCCATGTAGTCGACCACGGTTCAAGTCCTGGATCTGGTGGCTTAAACTCATGCTGGGCATATGTGCATGCATGCCCAAGATTCTGAGAGGGGAATGGAGAAGAAAGGACTGCAGTATGGCCATACCCTCTTGGGTGGTGATTTCTCACTTTCTGTCTCTGTCTCTGTCTTTCTGGTAAGCACACATGTCCTATAGCAAAAACCTCAAAAAAAAAAAAAAAAAAAAAAAACATATTCACCACATGAAGAGGTAGTTTTAAGAGGAAATTTTAATAAGTTATTTGATTAGATAAATTTACTCATTCTATTAGATTACTCATATTCTGGATATAGTGTAATGTTTACTTCTTTACAAAGACAGGTGCAGACAAATACGGCAGAAGTGTTACCACCTAAAATCTAGGTGGCAAACACAGCAATGTTTTCCAGTGTTTTAACAGCATTTTTAGTACATTCAAAATATTTTGTGATTTAAATGTTTTAATTTAACAATTTACAGCCTAGTTTTCATGTATTTTACATTATTAAGGACATCTTCCAAAGTTCTATGGCCAGACGCCCAAATTTACCTTTGGCTCTAAGTGCAGACTTAAAAACTAATTTCTTCCATCTTCGATACAAGCAGAGTAGTAGAGTAGTATTTTAGTACAAACAGAATTGGGTTCAAATCCTGGTTCTGTGAATATACTAGCTCTCTTGCCTTGGACAAATTGTACGTGAAAGTAATTTGCCTGCCATCCTTTATCTGTGAAATGGGTATTCTCTATCATAAAAGGTCATTGAGTAGCATGGGCAGTTAGTGTTCCTGTTTCTCCCTCGGTCCTCAACTGAAAAAACATGGAGGTGGAGGGTGGGGAAAACAACTTGGCCAACAGAATCCTCAGAGGAAATCAGCTGCTTCTCAAGATAAGGGCCAAGGCATAAAACCAGCAGACAGTCCCAGGGCAGGAAGAGAAGAACCATGAGGTTCATCCTGCCCATGGGTTTAATTGCGACCACACTCGCCATTGCTCCTGTCCGCTTCGACAGGTGAACTCACCATCCCGCCTGCCAGTCTTTGTGCGGGAGGAGGATGAAGGAATGCTTCTTCACACTTCACATTCTTATATTTTGCCTTCTTACAGGGAGAAGGTGTTCCGCGTGAAAATCCAGGATGAGAAAGAAGCTAACATCATAAAGGACTTGGCCAAAACCAATGAGGTAAAGCATTTAGAGAATTTTTTTTTTTCTGTCTGCTAGAAAGGTGCTTATTTTTTATCTTACTTTTAATGTCTACAGAGCTACCAAGGACAATCAGACATAAAGGGAAATGCAAGAGTTGCTTGGCTCATTCAGCCCACAGCCAATACTTCATTTTTTTGTTTTGTTTTTATTTTGTTTTCCCAGACTACTATTTCTGTTTTATCTCCCCAAAGCTTCACAGATCACAACTTTATCTAGGTAAAATTATGAAATAAGAGGATGTTCTTGATACCTTTATCGGGCTTCTTTTTCATCCCTTCTGGTGACTTAGGGTCGCATTCTCCCCATCCCTCACCTAATCTCCACTGGTGGGATCATTTTCCTTAAACTACTAACTGATAACATCCAGAGACTGGCTGATATCAGAACAAGACCATTTCCAGGAGCAGATATGTTTTAAAAGGGTACTCAAAGTTAGGTCAGTTTCTTTCTATCTTTTTTTTTAATCCAACAGGCTAAAATCATCATTTTGTCATTTATTTAGCTATTTCTAAACACAAGGTATATATGTCAGCCACCTTACCTGTCTCATTTCAAATCCCCCAACAGATTTTCAATGTTGGGGCCATAATTTAAACCTACTTAAAAAGAGAAGAACTGAACTAAAGATCAGAAAGGTGATCACATATCAGATTTAGGATGGAATCTGGGATTTATTCTAATTACATACACTCTTATCACCACACCAAATCAATCAAAATTCCTGTCTATCTGATTTCCTGCATGTTTCTAAAATCCACACTTTCCTTTCCTTCCCACCGCCTAGCCAAGTTGCTGTCCACTCTACCTCTTATCAAGACAATTTCAGTAGTCTGTTAACTAGCATTCAGGGTTCTAATGCTTCTCCCACAAAGCCAGGTCTGCATTGCACCTAGATTGCTCTCTCTATTTGAATCTATTTGCTTCCTCCCTTTGAATCTTGTTATTGAGAGGTAGCCTCATGTGAAAAAGAGTATGGTCTTCAGAACTAAAGCTAAGGCTCAAATCCCAACTCTTCACTGGCTCTGTGACCATAGGCAACTATTTATCCTCTGTGGGCCTCAACTTTCTCCTCTGTAAAATAGGAATAATGATCATACTTACCTTCTAAGAGTGTTGCAAAGACTAAGTATTCTTTGAGTGGTACTCAAAAACAGATCTGGCCATAAGAAGCACCATAGAAGCATTTCCTATTTTTCTTTTTTCGTTTTCCAGAGAGCATGTGCACTCAATAGAAAAAAGACAGAGGGGGTGTGGGGGAGGAGAAAGTGCTTTCCAATGGGGTATGGTCACACTGCAATTCCCCCTTCTTCATTTCTCCATCCTGTTAGAATTTGGGGCTTGCCTGTACATCCATCTGGCATATTTTTCAAGTTTTCTGGGCTGGGATTCAAACTTTGTCGGCTATGTAGGAGTCAGTTCCCTTAATCACTAGCCCTAGAAGCTTTTTTTTAAGATAGGTTTTAGCTATTGGGTGCACATACTCGACCGAGAGACAGAAAGTGAGAAATCACTCCCCAGGGGGAATGGCCATCCCCCTCCATCCTTCTCTTCCAGTCTCCTCTTGGAACTTTGGACACGCACACATGCACACATGCCCAGCCTGAGTTTTAAGCTGCTGGGTCTAGAACTCCAACTTCAGTAACCTGTCTCATTTCAAATCCCCCAACAGATTTTCAATGTTGGGGCCATAATTTAAACCTACTTAAAAAGAGAAGAACTGAACTAAAGATCAGAAAGGTGATCACATATCAGATTTAGGATGGAATCTGGGATTTATTCTAATTACATACACTCTTATCACCACACCAAATCAATCAAAATTCCTGTCTATCTGATTTCCTGCATGTTTCTAAAATCCACACTTTCCTTTCCTTCCCACCGCCTAGCCAAGTTGCTGTCCACTCTACCTCTTATCAAGACAATTTCAGTAGTCTGTTAACTAGCATTCAGGGTTCTAATGCTTCTCCCACAAAGCCAGGTCTGCATTGCACCTAGATTGCTCTCTCTATTTGAATCTATTTGCTTCCTCCCTTTGAATCTTGTTATTGAGAGGTAGCCTCATGTGAAAAAGAGTATGGTCTTCAGAACTAAAGCTAAGGCTCAAATCCCAACTCTTCACTGGCTCTGTGACCATAGGCAACTATTTATCCTCTGTGGGCCTCAACTTTCTCCTCTGTAAAATAGGAATAATGATCATACTTACCTTCTAAGAGTGTTGCAAAGACTAAGTATTCTTTGAGTGGTACTCAAAAACAGATCTGGCCATAAGAAGCACCATAGAAGCATTTCCTATTTTTCTTTTTTCGTTTTCCAGAGAGCATGTGCACTCAATAGAAAAAAGACAGAGGGGGTGTGGGGGAGGAGAAAGTGCTTTCCAATGGGGTATGGTCACACTGCAATTCCCCCTTCTTCATTTCTCCATCCTGTTAGAATTTGGGGCTTGCCTGTACATCCATCTGGCATATTTTTCAAGTTTTCTGGGCTGGGATTCAAACTTTGTCGGCTATGTAGGAGTCAGTTCCCTTAATCACTAGCCCTAGAAGCTTTTTTTTAAGATAGGTTTTAGCTATTGGGTGCACATACTCGACCGAGAGACAGAAAGTGAGAAATCACTCCCCAGGGGGAATGGCCATCCCCCTCCATCCTTCTCTTCCAGTCTCCTCTTGGAACTTTGGACATGCACACATGCACACATGCCCAGCCTGAGTTTTAAGCTGCTGGGTCTAGAACTCCAACTTCAGTAGACTACATGGGAATCCAGAAATGTAACCATTACGCCATCTGCTGGTCCCACCAGAAGCATTTTCTGTTGGTTAGTACAACATTCAAAGTCCTTCTTAATCAGCCTAACTGCCAGCTTTTTTATCTCCTGTTCTACCACCCTCTTTCTCACTGACTTCAAACTCCATAAACATCAAAAACTCACTCACCTTGGCCCAATACATCTTTCTCATGAGGAATGTGTTTCCCTTCTTTGCCTGACTGAGCCCTACTTTGTCTTCAAGATCCAGCTCAAGCAATGTCTCCTGTGAGAGGTCTTCTCTCTCAACACTCATGACCCACCCTAGGTTGTTCCTTGTGCTCTGAGAATTCCCTGTCCCTTCCCTGACGTGGGTTAACATGCTGGAAACACGTGCATATGGCTGTCTCCCACACTAAACTTTTTGCTTCACATAAGACCCTATAAGCCTCACAACTGTGGCCATCTGACTCAGTGCCTGTTGTTTAATATAGCCTTATGGAGTCCAATGAGTTCTAAACTCTTCTCTACATTACCCTGATAGAATAGAGAAATTTCTATTATGATAAGATTGCCCTTTCTGATATGCCTTTAAATCATACTACATCTCTCATCTATCCAACTCCTGCTATACATTTTCTGCCAAAGTATACAGACATTGGTTGATTTGCAGCAGCCTCACAGTGTCACATATTCAAATGACCTAAAGGTACAGGGAGATTTGAAGCAGCCATGCAGATTTAGACACACCTACAAAGTTGGTGTGATGGATAGAAATAGAATATTTCCTTCACATTTTCCAGGCTTGAGACTCATTTCATTTGGTTTCACAATTGAATATCATTTTGAAGACCCACAGAAAATTTTCTCAAAGCTATGGTAACCTAACACTGTCATTCCAGACTCATACACCTAATTTCTGAAATTCTCAGCTGGGGAAAAGAAAGAGGAGGAAATCAGTACTTGTTAAAGGAACACAAGTCCCAGAATTCATAGCTGTTATAGTCTTCAGAGTACTCTCAGTGAGGTCTCATTAGCTTCACTTTTTTTTTTTCAAAAGTTATTTTACCATAGGGCATGTGCACTCACCAGAGAAAGAGAGAGAGACAGACATAGAGAAGGAAAGTGAGAAATCACCTCTCTAGGGAAGATGGCCATCCTGCAATCCCTTTTCCTCCTTCTCCTCTCAGGACTCTAGACACGCACACACACGAGCCTGGTGTGAATCTCAAACCACCAGGACCAGGACTTGAACCACAGTCGACCAAATGGGAGTCCAGAGCCCCAATCACCATGCCACCTGCTGGCCCCATCATTAACTTCAGTTTTCAGGAGACAGGACTAAAATTCAAAGAAATTTGGTAACTTCCCCAAGGACATATTGCTAGAAAAATGACAGGGTTGAGAGACTCCATCTTCTGTCGGATAGAAATCTCCAGGAATTCTCAAGGTTATGGGAACATAGAGTTTTGCAGCCTGACTGGAGGAACAGAGTCAGATATTTTACTGAAATTACTAATTAGAAACATGCTCTGGTTTAACTAATTATGAACTAATCACATTCAGCCCCAACATTGTGTCAGCAAATAGATGAAACAAGAATTGCCCATCATTTTTGCATTGACAGAATGCAAAGTGATTAATTGAAAAAGTGATTAATATAAATGGTTTCTTTTCCATCCCTTAATATTCAATAGTTCTTATATATATTTGCAAAAATCTCATATGCTTATTTTAAAAATAGCTTATATCTTAGTCTCACAAAGCTCCAAATTCTCATATAGTATATAACACGTGGTCATTACTTTTTCTTTTATTTATTTATTTATTTACTTATTTATTGAGAGAGATTTTTGCTATAGCAAAAAATAGAAACTGAGAAATCACCCCTGGAAAGGATGGCCATGCCACAATCCCTTCTCCTCCATTCTCCTCTCAGGATTTTGGGCACACACGTACATGCACCTGGTGTGTGAGTTTCAAGTTGCTGGGTCCAGGACTTGAACCACAGTCGACCATGTGGTAGTCCAGTGCATTAACCCCTACACCACTTATTGGCCCCAGCACATGGTCGTTTCTTAATAAATATATGTTGGGTGAGCAAATAAACTGTTACTAATCTTGAACTCATCTCTACAGATTGACTTCTGGTATCCAGATGCCATGCACCATGTAGCTGCTCAAATGACGGTGGATTTCCGAGTTAGTGAGAAGGAATCCCAATCCATCCAGTCTGCCTTGGATCAAAATAAAATGCCCTATCAGTAAGTCCTATGCAGATATTCAAATATGTGGGATACTCAAACTTTTGAGAATCTTGGAACTGAGGAAAGATTTTTTTTTTCCAAAGGAATAATTTTTAATTGAGCTCCCCCCAAACTAGGGTTCTAGCTGTTAGATAAAATTCATAGTAACTTCTAAACAGACTAGTGAAGTCTGCTTATGGAGGTGATAAGATCAAAATTAGGAGCTCAGCTTCCAACTTACATTTTCTCTGAGCTGCAAGAATGATTGCCTCACATAAGCACCAAGCCCAAGATAAAAGCACTGAAAATAGTTATAGACACTGGAGACAGTGTGGAAGGAGGGAGGGAGATGAGAAGAGGGAAGGGAAAGAAATTAGGGAGAAAAATAGAGAAGTAAGACATTTATGGGACACAGAAATGGTTTATTATCTATAATAACGTGTATAGTGTTCTCAACTGGACTGGTCTGAGGTATATTGCATGTTGGATAAATTCAAAACAAGCTAAACGGTGTATAGAGATTGAATGTATAAAATAATAATAACATTTTTTAAAAGAGAGAGAATAAAAGCACCAAGCCCAAGTGAGCAGACGTGTATGGTTTAGCCACAGATTATCAATATCAATGGCTAACAGACCCAGAGCTCATGAGCTAAGGACAACCAGCACCATGTCCCTGTATTTGCGTCCTCCTGATACATAAAAGCAGACCAAAAAAAAAAAAAAATCAGTCATCTGGAAGTCAGAAACATAGTAATGCCAAATAAATAAGAAATAAAGATTTCTTTATGAAAGAAATTCTTCCTCAGAGAAAGCCAAAACAAAGCAGTAGATAGAATAGGTTTAAATCGAAAAGAAGAGAATCTTAAATAGCCAAAGAGGCAGAAATGAGTCATTGTGGCCTCGCAGAAAAATCAGAGAAAATTTGAATGGATTGCACATGGACCATAAGCCATGCACAATTTGAACCCTCAGGCAGTGAGCAAGAAGGGAACTCAGCAATGACTATCACAAATCAATGAATAATTTAAAAAACAATATGTGTTTTTATCCTCTCAAACATTTAGTGGCTTGATATATTGAGGGAGTTTACCTTCCCCAGTCCTTGCCATCCCAGGATTCCTTTCTGCTGAGACTCTCACTGTCAAAACACTGCTCAGCACTAGCTATTTTGGTTTTTTGGTTTCTTTTAATTTGTTTTTTTTTTTTTTTTTGAGAGGTCTTTGCTATAAGGCACGTGCACTCGCCAGACAGAGAGAGACAGAGAGACAGACAGCGAGAAACCACCCCCCAGAGGGGATAGCCACACTGCAATCCCTTCTCCTCCATTCTCCTCTCAGGATCTTGGGCATGCACACACACGTGCCCAGCGTGAGTTTAAGCCACTGGGTCAGAGACTCGAACCACGGTCGACTACATGGGAGTTCAGCAACATAGCCATTACGCTAACTGCTGGTCCCACTAACTCTTTCATTTTGAACTTGCTATTTCATGCCTCCACTACCTACCTTCCTCCTTTAATTGAAAAGGCCTGTGTCTTTGGACTGGGATAAAGAAAGATATTTTTATTTATTTATTTTTTTTTTTGAGAGAGATTTTCACTGTAGGGCGCGTGCGTTCGCCAGACAGACAGAGAGAGACATAGAGACAGAAAGCGAGAAATCACCCCCCAGGGGGGATGGTCACGCCGCAATCCCTTCTCCTCCATTCTCCTCTCGGGATCTTGGGCACGCACGCACACGCGCCCGGCGTGAGTTTTAAGCCACCGGGTCCGGGACACGAACCGCGGTCGACTACGTGGGAATCCAGCGACATAGCCATTACGCTAACTGCTGGTTCCCAAGAAAGATATTGATATCAGTAATGTCATATGGCAGGGTGGAATTTACTGCTGCTCATCATAGCTTGATATTTATGATATTGCCACGCTAGCTCAAATTACTATAAACTCTATTGAATTAAGGGAACACATACATACGACAAGTAAACACATAAAAAAAAAAAAAATACTGTGCATGGCTTAAAAAGTAGCAAGCAAGGGGCCAGCAGGTGGTGTGGTGGTGAAGTCACTAGATTCCCACATACCCAACTATGGTTCCAACTATGGTTCAAGTCCTAGACCTGGCAACATGAATCACATTGGGTACGTGTGTGTGTGTGCGCCCAAATTCCTGAGAGGAGAATGGAAAAGAAGGGATTGCAGCATGGTCATCCCCCTTTGGGGATGTGGGAAGGAGGTGATTTATCACTTTCTCTCTCTCTCTCTCTTTCTCTCTCTCTCTCTGTATCTATCTATCTCTGTCTCTCTACAGTGAGTGAGCATGCCCTATAGCAAAAAAAAAAAAAAAAAAAAACTTAAAAATATTAATATATAGACCTGATCTGGATTCCTATAATCAACTATTTCTTACAAAGTATTCAGCCCAAGCTAAAATAAAATAATGTTCTGGACAAATTGTATATAATTTAGCTTGAATAGCAGAATTTAAAAAAAAAACTAGGTATTATATTTTCCTTAATATCCTTGAAATGCAGAGAAAATGCTAGTTGCTTGACATGAGTCTGGAGTAAATCCCTGGGACACCTAGGCAGGTGGCTGGCATCCTTCCACTTTACCAAATAATTCACACAGGCCTTTCTCCTCCTTGGTGCTCCAGGCCTCTCCTAGACCAAAGCAATTCTGGCTCCCTATAGAGCTAAATCCAGATCTTCACAAATAGTGTTTTTCACTGACTTATTCAAAGATAGTTCCCTTCGATCAAATCAAGAACCAACGTGTTAAACTACCTCTAAAAATTAGTTTTATCTAATTAAGACATGATTTCTAGAAATCGGCCCAAATTAACCACAGTTGTGGAAAAGCCACATAATTAGATAGTTACCTTCCTCAGAAATATAAATATGTAAAGTGATCTGTACAGACAAGAACTATTTAAAATCTTGTCTCCAAGTACTAATTATATAGATAATTTTATTTGCATATTAATTATATGTGTTACTTGGTGTCAGTCAGTAGCAAAAAAAGAGTTCTAAGAACAGAAACATCTGGTTGGACCCAGGCACCAGGATGAATAAAACCATATTAAGAGGCTGGTTTGACACAATGATTTACTTAGACACCCTTCATTAGACAGTGCATATAAACCACTATTTAGTTTAAAGCATCTGTGTGTGATTTTTTTTTAATTTTCAGAAAATTTAATTACTGAGCTAAATTTGATTTTAAAGTAGTATGCCTGCTCCCTTTCTATTTACACTTTTAAAAACCATAAAAGACCAAGTCTAAAAACCGAATAACTTGCATATACCAACAGACTGAGACAGGCTGGTGAACGAATGTCCCCAGGAGAATATAGCCATTGGATTGACCTCAGGGGTCAACACCACATTTAAGTTGGGCAGTTTAAACCGCACTAACGTTCTCACTCTTTTTTTTTTTAACTTTACATTTTAGATAGCCCATCTTTTTTTTAATTATTAATTTAATTTAATTTCACTTGTAATTATTTTAATTTGTTATAGGGCTCGGTAGACAAAGAGAAAGAGAAAGTGAGAAAGAAAGCTACCAGGTCTGGAACCCGAACCACAGTCAACTATGTGGGAGTCCAGCACCTCAACCACCATGTCACCTACTGGCCCCAAGATAGCCAATCTCTAACATTGTCTTTTCTTTAATCAAAAGTTAAAATTAGAAACTACAGAGAGGTGTAAATGAAAGGTAATTTAGAAAACAATGATTAATATAATAAAACTCAAATGATAATAATATTAAGTAAAATCCAATAATCCCCATAAAATTATGTGGGAAATGCAAAAGAGATACACGCCAAACGGACAAAGCACTAATCAACATCTCATATTAAAATCTGATTGCCTAATAAGTCATCAGTACTGAACATAATCCAAGTATACAATCCTATCTAAGAAGAGTTTCAATCAAATGAATCATTCCAATGTGTCTTCTCATTCATTTTTCCTTCTTCTCCATAATTTTCCATATTACTTGCCCAGAAGTATAATACGTTAGGCCTGCTACAAATATTAAAGAGATTTTGGCCACAGGGAAAAAAACAGAAAAATGTGGTAGCTAAGAAAGTAGATTCTTGAGCAAGACTGCCTGGGTCCAGTCTCATTCAAAACATGTATTAGGTATTTAACGTTGATGGTTTAAGTTGTTTCCATCTCACTTACCTCATCTGCAAAATGGGAATAAAAAGGGAATCTACTTCCTGGGAGTTTCCTGAAGATTGACTGGGATGTAAAATCACTTTTTGCCTGGCTTCTCCTATAAACACGGGTAGAGGAAAGGCCACTTGTACACATGCTTGTGTGAGTGCATGCACAATCACACATACCCCCAACACACACACATAGTATAACACGGATGCTCCTTGTCCCTCCTACTAAATAAATTAGTGCCTTGAAGTTTATTATCCCACGCAGTGGTATGCTTCAAACGTTGAGAAATCCATGTCAGTAAGGACAGTCTGGTGCACAGTAACCCAATTAGGGAGTTTCTGGGGACGACAGGATCTTGTGGAAACCTGAAACCATGCTTTTTTTAATAGCCCTTATCCTGCTATAATACGAATCCAGAGAGTCCAGACCGGTTACCTGGCACCCTAACAATCACTCTGCCTCCTTGAAACATCCTTCCCCATGTCACACATGTACACACGCACATGCACGTTCACACACACACTCCTCACCCCCACGGAAGACTATAACCGCTATGTACATCAGCCCGCGGTTCTCCATATTAGCCCATGGCTCTCCAGTCCTTCCCTATTACTCTCTAAATGCAACCAAGGGAGGGAGCCCTGGGATTGTCACAGCAGGGTTCACCTTGTTGTTTCTCTGAACCTCTTAGCTGCTCCCTGACCTCGGGAGACAGGTTCCTGGGAGAGCTGGCTGTTTGGGCCACTCGCACACAAGCCTCGGAAGGAAGACGAAAGAGAGTCCAGATCTGATAGCAATACCCAGGTATTCCACTTTCATGATGGAGGAGTCATTGCTGT